GATATAATTTCATAATTTGAAACCATATTAGCTGATAAAATACATTTATTTGAAAATCTATGTCTAACATACGAGCATAAAGAATTTCTTATACAAAGATTGACTACGTTATATTAAAACCATTCTGGAACCTTATCACGTCGTTACAGAACATGTTGCCACGTCCGGTCATGTTCTATCTGATGGCCGTGCATCTTGACAATAGCCTCACAGAGTAGTTTCCATTGAAAAGACGCCGCCTAAAGGCTGTCATGTCCAAAGAACACCGCTCTTCCCTGCATGCTTTTTGTAATTCAAATTAACGTACGAGGGCAACGTTTTTCCAATCTCTGTTTCAATAGTCTGATTACACAGAAATCTATAGGTGGCTTGATCGCTATGTCTTTGTATGAAATAGGATGAATATCCGTTTCAGTCTCCAGCTACTTGAGATATGCTCCAGTTGAAAGGATATTTCGTGTACGCATCTTGAAGACACGTGGCTTGTGTCGCTTTTCCAAACGGAAATCCTTCTTGATTATGTTGCCTGGGACACCTGAACTGCTTTTACCACTAATATTTAGTGTTCATGGATTCTCGCATGTTATAAGGCGGCGGCACCTTACTTACTATGAGTGTAGGTCTCTTTCTAGATATTCCTTCATTTTCCAATACCACTAAGTACAGGGGGTATTCCCATCTTGGAATTGTAAATCAACATTCTGAACGCAGTTTTGTGATTTGGGTGTATGAATATTATGCATTGGAGAGGGATGTTATGTACCTTTCCCAAAACGATCAATGTTCAGTTCCTTCTAAAATTTAGTTCTGATACATGCTGTCCCACCTCGACTTTACACTGGCTTTGATTGTCACGTGACTTCATATAAAAACATATATTCGTATATTTGGAGTGTCATATGGTGGGCACAGCACAGATAGCCCATTGTGTAACCTTTTTGCTCTAAAGAAATGATTTTTTAAAAATTTATTTTCAGATATTCTCGCAAGGTTATATGTAATTAGCCATTCCTCAGTTTGAGCTGATAGGGTAAAGGAAAGGAAGCTAATCATAGTATCCACTGAACAGTTGTATAACGCACCCATGGTTATAGGACACGAACGATTTCACTTGCAGATTCATAATTTGCACGCTAACCGTTAAGACATTCTCGACCCTATTTTATTATCGATATTTGATATTATTGTAGTAAATATGAAATTATTGGTTTGTTAAAAAATATTTATGTTTTTATCGCAAGTGAAAGTATTTATTTAAATGTTTCTAACATAAATTAATCATTTTACGCTTTAATAAAACTAATTACGAAATATAGAAACCTCTACAAAAGCAACGTTTAGACGTTTTTTTTGAATAACTACGCATGGACAGAAAATAGGAACAATTGTTTTAACAATAAAAATTAATAATATACGAACTTAGGAAAAAAATATACGCTTAATTTTGAAGGACATTGGATATGAAACAGTGACATTTTAAATTATACAATCCAATTATTACTTACATCATTCTTAACATTATTATATAATTATCTTGTATTTAACTTAACATTATTTTCGGTAGGCTTATAAAGATTAATCTCTTTTCTTTATTAATTACAAAATACATATTGAAGTTAGTTAGTATCGTTTAAATATAATAATGATTATGTCAATATAGGAATATGTTTATATTTGGCTATAATTTATTATAGAACTAAACCTTCTACGGTCTTCCAACGCTAGAAACCGGGTTTCGATACCTGTGGTGGACAGAGCACATATAGCTCATGTTTAGCTTTGTACTTAACTTCAAACAGTATAATTCAATACTAGAAACAGTTAAGTAATCGAAGAAAAATTCAGAAAAAAATCAAACTTATGTTAATATCTATTGTATGTTGAACTAATGTTACATGTAAAATTAAATAACACAATAAAAATTATATTGCACGATTGCTGCTTCCAAATATACAATCAAATTCAATTACTTTTTATATCTATCATTAATTTGTTGAGACAATAGTTTTTCTTCATTCCTCGAGATATTTTCCGTTCAAATCAAATAAGCTCAAACACAATGGAAATTTCACATGAAAAATTATACTTGCTGATTATTCATATGTATGGTTGTGCACATCTTCGTACTTTCGAGCATTCAACAAGCAGGTAAAACGCTTGATTAACATGCTTTCAAATGTTCAATTCTTGTATAAAGTCTAACTTACTTTTAAGCATTCAACAAGCATGCGTCATGAAGCCTATCTGATATCAAAATTCAACATGCATGTATAAAGCATGTATAAGGTATAACTTAACAAACATGTATAAGGGCTATTTAACATACTTTGGAATATTTAATAAGCATGTATAAAGCCTGTCTAACTTACTTTTGAACATTCTACAAGTATTCTACACCTGATGATGACAAAACCTTGTCGAAACGTTGTACATTTGCTGTTATGTTAAACTTATATTAAAGTTTTTCTTCATTACCCATTCAAGCCGTCTCCAGCCATTATTAGTCTCAAAGTGGGTTCCTCGTCATCGAATTCTACAACTATGTATAAGATCTGCCTAACTTACTTTTGAACATTCAACAAACATGTATAAGGCTTGTCTAGCTTACTTCTGAACATTAAACAAGAATGTATAAGGCCTGTCTAGCTTACTTTTGAACAATCAACAAAAATGGATACGGTGTGTCTTACTTACTTTTGAACATTCAAGAAACATGTATAAAGACTGTCTAGCTTACTTCTGAACATTCAACAAGAATGTATAAGGCCTGTCTAGCTTACTTTTGAACAATCAACAAAAATGGATACGGTGTGTCTTACTTACTTTTGAACATTCAAGAAACATGTATAAAGACTGTCTAATATAATTTTGAGTATTCATCGAATATATGTAAAGTTCTCACATTTAGCAAAATTTTGCTAAGCATTTTTAACTCATGTGTGTAATCACTCTGCAAATTTGAATGAATATAACCTGCCCAAATGTAACTGAAAATTCCTCAAACTACTATATACAAAACATGCCTAACTCATCTGTAAATATTTAATATATTTTTTATAAAACATCTATTGTTTCTGAAAACACTGAAGAATCAACCATCAACCAAAATGTTAGTACTGATGTATGCGATAAGTCGAGAAGTTTAATTTCTTTTTCACAATTTCACCATTTTTTTTATCAAACTGAAAAATCTAAGTGTCCAATACATTTAATTATTGACCAATTTTTTTTGGTATTAAGTAAAGTTATTATTTCCGAATCAATCAATACTGGAGAAACTGAAAGACAAGTTACTGTTGGTTAAAAACTTACTAGCTGATTGTGATATTTGAATTACATTCATTAAAGTTTAGAGATAGACTATATCTATATACTTTCTATTATCCGTTATTTCTGAATAGATCGATTCGGAACAACTTAGCGAACAGCTACGGTTGGTGAGTGAAATTTGATCGTAATATTTGAATTACTTTCTTTAAAGTTTTGAAGACGGGCGTATCAGTATATCCATCTCTAGAAACTTTCTATTATCCCTGATACAGCATAACAACAAAAGGAGTTTAGCGCAAAAAAAAACAACAACAAAAAAAACGAAACAGACAAACAAAACCAAAAAACGCGTTTCACAAAGAAATGTCGTAAATAGAGGGGTTTCATTATATGCGCACAACTAATTGTTTTAAAGAGAGTTTACGCATGAGACTGACACAAACTTTTGTCACATGTTGTCACAAGGTTACCCACACAAAGTAAATGACTCTCACACCAACTACGTAATCATTAATCTATGAAACTAAAAACTTCATTTTTCATTGTTGTTAAGGAGGGGGGGGTGCCTAATTTAAGTTAGTTTTTGTGGTATAAGTAAATAAATTTATCGCATTGAGAACTACTGTTTCTCCTTTTAGAATACTCCGTCGGCGATAATTTTTTGAGTTACAACGTTAAAAACCGGGATTCGAACCCCCACAATGAACATAGCGCGGATAGCTCATTGTGAAGCTATACGCTAAATTTAACAAACAAACAAACCTTTTAGAATGACCTATTAATTAGTTTTTCCAGGTGAAACTACCGCAAAATAAATTATGCATATTTTATTTATTTATCTGTCACTTAACCCTTTGTTTTACCGCCCAGTGGCAGAGCGGTATGTCTGTGAACTTAAAACGCTAGAAACCGGGTTTCGATACCCGTGGTAGGCAGATCACAGATAGCCCATTGTGTAGCTTTGTGCTTAAATACAAACAAAACAAACCCTTTGTCTTCTGTTCATATACTTTGTCAAGGAAAGAGAGAAAAGCGTGGTGAAATGCTTTCCACAGAAAACACTTTCCTTATCCTCTCGACCCACGTGTTTCTTTGATCGTGCTAAAATTAATAAGCCTCGAAAAGGACTCGTGTGCTACGAAATTTTTTTAAATACTTTTGTGCAAAGCAATTATGAAAAACAAACAGAAGCTTATTTTCCACAGTTAATAAGAAAAAAAAGTGCACATATGGATATAACCTAGTGTTTACGTCAGCAACCAGACTAATCACACGCGGTGAACAAGGCAAACCGCCAGCTGCTCAAGGTAAAAACGATAATAAATATGCCAACATGTCAATCATATTAACGCAGATCCCACCTATCATTAAGCTCCGCCCTTACATCAGCTGTATTGTCAGATGTAGCCTCACAAGCCATCAGAGGAGATAAAATTCATCATTATAACATTAGGGACAGAAAGGTGCTTCTTGTCATGGAACTGCTAAATTTATTTTCTAGTTTCGTAGTAAAGGTGCGTTTGTTTCTAGAATTAGGCTTTCTCGTCTGTTCCTTTGACACATATTGAGCTGAAACCAATGAGTTCTGGAGTGAAATAATATTCCGGGTGATGCCTCGCCTTTTATATGTCGTCATCTGAGCCATAGCCAATCAACAACGGGAAAAACATCCATTTATCAGCGCCATGCTGTGAAGCCTGTGCTCTAAAGCGAGGCCACCAGAAATCACGTAGGAGGCTGAGACTTGTTTTGCGAGTGAGATCAGATCGGCGCCAATGTCTTCTGCACAATGGCTACCGACTCCCAGGGTCTGTACACAGGCACAAGTAGCGTGTACTCTCTGACAAGCACACACGTCTGTAGGAGCAGCGATATGCAGCTCGCGAGCTCGCAGACCAGTTTCATTCGCGACCCTGCCGAGTTCAAATACATGGCGCCGCAGCACCAAAGCCCTAACGGGCACGCTCTCAGCCCTCATCCCCAGTGGGTCGGGTTCTCCCCGCATGGAGACCCGGGAACATGGCCGTCCAGCATGGCTCACCCGGGTCTACATCAACAAGACATTAAACCACCACATCACGCCGGAACTGAAATACACCCTGGTGCCCTCGCTCATCACCGTCCCTCACAGCACATGCCAGCGTCCTACCCATGGCACCCTTCATCATTGGCAGCACCACACATGGCAAGTATGGCGTCACCAGGAAACGGATCTTCGCCCTCGCAACGTCCAACTTACGGAATGAACGGTATGCTGACCCATGCAGGTGGACAGCTTCAGCCAGTCATGAGAGACATGTCCCAGCATCTACAAAGTGACCACAATACGCATAATCATCATTATCTCGACCCCATACATCATCGTAGTTTGAACTCAAGGTCAGTCGATAGTAACCACACCGTAATCAATGAGTCACCACCGCCCAACTCTGATGACCTGGAGAATTTCGCTAAGCAGTTCAAACAGAAACGAATTAAGCTAGGATTCACCCAAGCTGACGTGGGCTTAGCCTTAGGGACACTTTACGGCAATGTATTTAGTCAGACGACCATTTGCAGGTTCGAAGCTCTGCAGCTGAGTTTCAAAAATATGTGTAAGTTGAAACCACTGCTCTGTAAGTGGTTGGAGGAAGCTGACAGTTCCACTGGTTCACCAACATCTCTTGACAAGATCGCTTCCCAGGGTCGGAAACGGAAGAAGAGAACCAGCATTGAAGTATCTGTGAAATCAGCGCTGGAAACTCACTTCCTGAGACAACAAAAACCGATGGCTCAAGAGATAGCAAGCCTTGCCAATAGTCTACATTTAGAAAAAGAAGTGGTGAGAGTATGGTTTTGTAACCGACGCCAGAAAGAGAAGCGGATGACTACAAACGTAGACGTCGCTGGAAACCCTCGGACAAACACTGGAACGGTAAAGGGGGGACACAAAACTGATGGGAACCAAAATATGCTTTTAAGGCATGCTGATGGTGGCTACCTCAACAATAGCCCACAATTCCAGTCTCACTCTCACAGCCCGCCTATGCTCCACTCACCCCAACCCCAGTCAGTCAGCCATTGCATTACTACCATCGGACAGACCCTGACCGCTCACCGACAACTCACATGACTTGTGATCTAATTATATACACACTGTGTAAGAAAATACGATATTTGCCACGTTAACAGGCCTAAAGTTTACACATGGTGCATTGTATAAATAATGGCCTGCTTTGTTTGGTTAGTGAACTGAAGATTTATTTGTGCTCATTCCGAAAGCTGTTAGAATTTCTTGTATAAAAAAAGTCTCGTGATGGCGTTTTAGCTGTTGTGTTTTCGTGCCAATATTCTGTTTTGTATCACTGTGCCCCAGTTGAGCCAAGATTCTCCTGTACAAAGTACAGCTGAGACGGAACGGGAGCTTGCGTGGTTTTGAGAAAGGACGAAAGGTGAGAAAGAGCGAGCTTCCAACTAGTCGAAGCACGGGACAAGCGTAGAACAAACAGTTAACGTGAGGTAAGGTCATGTGCGGTGTTTTCAGACTTGCTCTTGTTAATTTACAGTTTTCGGACTAACTTGTGAAGAAACCAGCTTTGTATAGTCTTTTGAACTTTTAGGCTTTTGAGAACAGCAGAAAGTTTAGTCTTTCATTTAGTTGCAGCGGGGGATAGCACAGTAAACCTAAACAATAATTAGGGTATAAAACTGGTATATGTAAACCTCTGATAAATGTGAAATATTAAATTATATACAGTGGTTGTGCGAAATTGGAGCACGAGGCTAGATAAATAAATATTTTATGTGAGATTTTACACCTAACGACGAAAGAAAACAATAATAATATTGCAAATGATAAGCTTCAGTTTGTCAGGAAGTATGATAATGTTTTAGAGATAAGTGTCTGGATTTTAATTTTAACCCCCCCCCCCAACAACATTAGTGTAAATCGCAACATTAGTGTAAATCGAGAAAGAAACAGTTTTCAGGCTTAACTCTGAAAGATGTTTTCGAAAAGTGTTATGAATATCATAGATAGTTTATATATTATTTACTACAGTCATGCACATTAGAAAGCACTGTAACCCCTTTGTATAATACCCACAGGATTAAGCAGAGATTTTACTGATTTTATGGTAAAAATTTGAAGGTTAATTAAACAGATTACTTTAAACAATATTTCCAATACCAGGTTATGCAAAATGAAACTAACTTAGATTATCCAGATTCAAATCCATAATTGGACTCTCGAGATTACAAAAGTGATGGCCATTAGCACTATAGTTAAGGTCTCAAATTTACTTTCAGTTTACTACAAAAAGAAAATAATTACGGTTAAAGTTAAAAAAATGACATTTTTACTGATGCTGTAAAAACGAAGTTGATGGTTGTTTTCCTAGAAAAAAACAACAACATTTGTTTTCAGTGTTAAAACTATCATTAGGTCAGAAAAAAGTTTTCGGAGGTACTTAAAATATAAGATGTCAGTTGTTATACAATATGGAGAAAGCTATTAACTGGATTATTTGAAGGACTGATCTTAAATCAGGGTGCGAGTTTTATTGTACTGATAGATTGAGCATAGATTTATACATAGCAAGTGATTTCAGTTCGTCTAAGTCGAACAGTGGAATTCAAGAAATCTAATCCAAAGTGCACTTCTTTGAATGTTGGTCGACATTACACATAAATATGAACACAGTCGGCTCACTTTTACACTTTCTTGTGTTTATATGTCATGCGTCTCTGTAAAATTCCAAAAATGTTCAGGGGGGGGGGGCGAAAGATAGTTTTAAAAGCAAACGGCTAATTCTGTAGACATAGAATAACAAATAGTATTTAATATTGGTGCAAGCATGAAATTAAATTTTAGTTTGTAATTGTTATATATATTCCATCCTTTCAATGTGGCACGAATATAACCGTAATTTGCTTACTGTTAGATTAGGACCATGTAATCTTACGTAAGTTTTCTATGTGGATATTTTTAGGGCAATTTGTGTTTGTTGTATTTCATCACAATCTGCTTATCACTTAATTTGGGTCTTGAAATTTTAAGTAAGTTTTTCTGTGTGGACATTTATGGGACAACTTATGTTGTTGTATTTTCTTAGAAAGTGATGAAAGTGGTTCTTGTCAGAAAACAGTTTGAAATAATAGAAAAAAATTCATTGGCAACTCCAAACTTTTAGTAAAGCTTTCATAAAATGAATAGAAGAAAACCAAATAAGAAATATTAGTTACATGGTAAATTCTCCTGTAGGAGTTACAAAACAAATAATTTAGCAAATATACCCATATATATGTGTATGTATAACAAAATATGTATTGATATATATATATAACAAAAAATATTTTATTGGCACAAATATTACAAAAACAGATTTGATGATTTAAAAGTAAGTACAAACTTGAGTAATTATAGCAACAAATATCCCTAATGTTATGAAAAAAAAGTCCTGAACTGGAACTCAGGGTAATTTGTTTCTTTATAATTCAGTGACATCATTAAGAAATAGTTGTCACTAATCGTGCCAGCTTGCATCATGTTTTAACCATCCTTACCGTTGTCTTGTAAATAGCATTCTTTCTAGATTACGTGTTTTTAAATAGGCATTTTGTATTTGATTTTTAATGAACTTCGAAGTTTTAATGCGTTTTGTTTTGGTAAGAACTACAAGATTGAGTTGTTCGTTAGTGAAGACACCCGGTGTTCCAAATAAAATGTAAACAAATCTCTAAGGGCAAACCCAATTCATTGGTTTTAGTTTCGGTTAAATTTATTACAAGAAAAGATCTGAGATTTTTTCCTAATCAGTAATTGGTTGTTTCAAACTATAATATTATTGTATTTGTAAATGATACGATACAGACATGATTTTTATTCTTTTAAAAATTCGTGTTTTCAATAGCAATAATATTTGTCTCAATCGTTTAAAGTTCTATCAAGTTGTTAGTGACCAACCAATGTAATGTTTTGTTTGCTAGGATTATTTAGTGAGGTTGGCGTTCTATTGCTAAATACAACTTCTTCAATTATCCTACTAATAAAATATTCAAACACTGTTCCATAAATTCCTATCAGAGATTACAAAATCTAATTCATTAAAATATTGGTATGGTATCTTAAACTAGCTATTAAAATTCGCTCAGAGATTATGAAACTATTTTTTCTAAAATTATCAGAAATTCTAAATCTTTTCAGAAAATGCGAAACTCAGCTATTGAAATATTGTAAGGGATTTTAAAACCCCAGCTTTTAAAATCATCTCTTAAAATCATTCAGACAATGCGAAACTTTGAATAATAAAATATTGTTAGGTGATCTAATGACGGTTATTTGACATGTCCAAATTCGTTTTAGATTCCACTTATTGAATATTTTGTTATAATCAAAGAAAGGATTGTTAAGTCCAAATATTGTTAGAGCTGATGTTTCCCACATTTTTAGACTCCCAACCTCTACAATATCTAGAGATATGTCATTTACATACCAGTTCTGTTTTGAATATTTAGTCATGTATTGTTTATGTATAAATAGGCTACATTTTTCACAGATTTAAAGATATGTAAAATACAGTTCAAATGAGTGATTAAAAACACTTTAGTCTCAAACTTGTTTTTTTATTTCTGGTATAATAAACTACCTTCATACTTTTTTCTGTGCAATTTGTACATTATATTTAGTTGTTTCCTTCTTTGTTAAAACGATTGTAAGAACCAGTTATGAGCTGTGAAATAGCGTGTACTAAAAGGATGGCATGACATCCTGCCATTTTCTGTATTAGTAAATTGTCTACGTTTTGTTACTAAATCAATGGCTTAAGTGAGTACACGACATTATGTATACTATATGACAAATCCCAAGGAAAACACGTACCGAATGTTAAGGAGTTTTTCAATTTCACACGCTATTTATTGGAAATCCTGATATAACACGAAATATCAACTTAGTTTTACATATCGTTTTAACAAACAGAAAAAAACATTCAACTTATGAAAATGATAAACACACTTAGCAATTGCTCAAGTGAGAATGGACTAAATGTTTCGATTGTTTGAAGTTAACTGTGCTTTAAGTTCGAAGCTTGGAATGGAGATAAAATGTGAAGAACTTTCCAGGTTTTACAATGTGATGAGGTAGTGAAATCCATAATGTCAATATTTTGATTTTTAAACCTTAAAGAAAACATAATCTTCCTTTGTTTAATGCCATAACATTCCCGGTGTTAGTTGGCAGAGTTCATGCTTTGCACTTGTATATTATTGTACTTGTACATGTATAGTTAATTGTACTATATATACAATAAGCATTTAATAACTGTATTATATATATAACAAATTGGAATTAGGTATAATAAACACCAGATTTTGTGACATAACAATTTTGTTCCTTTTGTTGTTATTTTTTTATAAATTGCTACGCTGTTTGATCTTGGATTTTGGATGATGTCGTGAACGGCTTATAAAAATCAATTCGATAACATTTTTTAGAATTAAGTTTAGCATACAGATTGCTGGCATATTAAACTAAGAACCGGTATTAAGAAACTGAAAACTAATATGATATTGCTCGAGTTTTCCAAAGCTGTCCATCCAATACCTAAACTACTCTAACACAGTTTTAACAAACCCGTCTCATATTGAGTTTCTAACACTATTTTGAAATGACAAAATTACATGTTTGCATATCACCAGATGTCGCTACCGACTACATAATGATCAAAAGAAAGACAAAATATTCTATCTAGTTATTTAAACAAATAAACACTCTTTTGATCTAACAGTGTTTTTATTAAGATTTTCTCTTTAAGTGAACTCAATAGAAAACTAATTGTAAGAAGTCCATGAAATTGGATGATACGGGAAAGTGAAACACTACCTACTAGCGCTGAGTTAAAGGCAGGAAAACATTTAAAACTGGAAACATGAATAATACCGTTCACAAAAAGTAACAAGTAGTTCAGGAGTTGTAATAAACGAGTTGTTTAGTTTCAGATGATTCAACGAAGGTGAGTAAGAAGGCAAGTTTTGTTGCATGCTGACATTGACACAGATAAAATGTGTTTCTATTCACTCTTACGATCTCCTTTATACGTGTCTGCTAAGACAGTAACCACGGGTCATTACAAGATGTTCATCTGGTGCGTTAAGGAAATTATGTGATTTATTTAGAATAACAGCTAAATCTTAACGTGCAAGTTACAAGATTATTTTCATAAAAATTGTAAGAAACGTCTAGATAAAAAAATGGATGCATAAAGAGCTTGATTTAAATCCTGATTTAGTGTGCTTTATAAAAAACTCTACAGTTTGACGAAAATAAGGTAAAATGTATAAGAAGGTACCGTAAACAAAGTTAACAGTCGCGACTCGTTTCGGCTTTAGCACGCCAGGGGAACTATCAGTCAGACGTGTTGAGTTGGGGAGGAAAAGTACGCGACACCGTCTCAACAAAAAGTGTGCATTGTGAGTGTAACGTAGAAGCGATGGGGGAAAAATAAAAAAAGATATATATA